GCCCGGCGAAATTTTCCACAAGTTTAAAGAATAAAAATCATGGAGTCTAACAAATGGTTGCCACAGACATCCCTTTTCAAAATTCCCTGACAAAAATTAAATTTCCCTGACCAAAGAAATGCAAAATGTCAGGTATAGTAGCGGCTTCTTCTTTCACTCGTTCATTAAGAGTGATAATTTTGAACAAATTTTCCGTCTTCATTAGGGAAAAATATCGTTGAGATCACAGTGACCCAAATGTTTCTTCCACTCTTCAGTGGTATTGAATCAGCCGTATTATTTCAATTTTCCCTGACTCACGATAAAATTCTCTTACTTTTCCCTGACCTTGAAGAATTTTTTCCCTGACCATTTCCTGACCTGTGACAACCCTGTGACAACAGTTTTCCAACAAATTATCCATGTAATCATTCTGTACATCACAAAGGCAACAGATGTGTGGTCATTTTGATTAGTAACTATTTGAAAACTTTTAAAATGCCAGTGGTCAATTTGCAAAGAATTTGCTTCAGTGGCCTTTGAGTTGGTCAGATTAGTCTCACTGAAAGTGCCAGCGATGTTCTGGTCTGATTTCTCAGTACAATAACAAGTCTTCATCTAGTGTTTAAGTTACAAGAATCAAGTCAATAATCAACAAACAAAGACCTTTCCATTTTAACAAATTCTGACTACAACATTTAATAGTACAGGAAAATTAATACACAAAGACAAGTAGAAAGTTGTATTTTGACATGGAGTTAAAAATTATATCTAAAATATACCAAAAGCAATATATAGCGTGGTCTACACAGGCAGTTATTATCTGACAATTTTATTTGTGACAAATAGATTTGATCATACAGATGGCATAGCAAATATTTGTCAACAATTTAAAGTTTAGTGTGCCAGTAATGACTTCAGACAGCAGAGATACGCAGAAACAAGGCGGGGCTGCTTAGTCCCCAAAAATGTGGCCTTACAAACATATTTCCCGCATTTTATGTGACAAGTTGTCTACACAAGCAATCTTTTCGTATGTGACAACTTTTTATTTGTCACATAGAAGCTAACACGCCAGCTGTTCAGCAAATATATTTATCACATAAAAAGTCGCCAATTTTCCTTGTCTACACAAGCAAATAAGAATTGTCAAATAAAAATTGTCACATAAAAATTGCTCGTGTAGACCAGGCTTAAGTGAGTTCAAATTCTATTGTTCTTATATCAAGTCAGATCATTAAGTACCAGATCTGACATTTAATAAACTATTGTACATGACTGTGCTCCTGTTCAAGCTCGAAGTTTTCACAGCATGATGTCAGCTCTGTAAAGAGGATATACAGTTGCTATGGTTACAGGACTCAGCTAAGTACTATGAAAAATGACACATAAAGATTTGTCAGCTACTCAGTAAAGACTCGACAGCTCTCTCTGAATTCCAGGAATGGGTCGACAATGCCACTAGACTTTGACTCTGTGAATAGAACACAAAAGATGGAGGAAAGAGGAGGAGTTACATTTCATAAGTTTGAGCATGCATAATTTCTCTCACACTTTTTGAAGGAAATAGACAAGTACCTTCTACATTGTCAAGTTATATAAATATGAATATGGAATTCATTAAGCTGGGACTTGTGCTTCTTTCTTTCTAACACATTACTTTTTCAGAATGTCTGCATGCTGACATGTATATGACTGAAGATAAAAAAAAGTACCAGTCTGCATATGTGAGGGCCCATCAGGCTGGAGTTTATCTTGGTTTCAGTAGCATGAAGCAACTAGGGGTATTTCTACCCCCCCCCCCGCATGGAATGCAAATCCATTGCAGGGTTAACCCTAGCATTAAATTCGCTGGTACCATTCGCCAGTACCCAAAANACAATAGTATGCTCATATCTCCTTACCAAATTATAATTTGTATGAAAACTGTACTGTATATGTATGGGTGATCAAATGGTGATGAGTGAAATTAGGAAATAATCTCACATGCATTTTGTCAACATTCTAATAATTTCACAAGTTTACCATTTGATTAGCTTTTACTATCATAGGTGATAAATATTATTGCCCTCACAATTGTGCGTTTTTGAGTTGTTTATTATATCGAGAAATTTTGCGCCAAATGTTGCTATGGCAATTATAAATTAATGCTGAAATTTTGTGCCAAAATTAAGGACTAATTTGTCATCCATGATATTATTATAAGAAATAACATTTCCAAGCATGTTTAACTAAAATGTTAATGGTGGCCATACTGTACATGTATATAAATTGCATGGGCAAAAAAACCTACAGGTATGTATCAGCCTATCTCTTTTGGGTCAAGTCAAAAACAAATCCTCTTACCATTGATCTTTCAAGATGTCCAGACATATTGCTCCTGTAACAGAACTTATATTTGGATGCCAGATCTTTGTCACAAAATTTACCTTGAAGACAAATAATTTAATTCAATGTATTGTTATTAATAAAGCTAATTGTTTTAAAAATAGCATTGCCAACAGATGTATATATAAATTATAAAAAAAGTGATTTTTTTTGTCATTAAAGTCATGGGTTTTTTCCTTTTCTTATCTTACTTATGCATAGTTTCTATCCATACAATTTATACAGTCACAGTTTTTACATTATTTTCATATTCTTACACATTCTTAGATCTTTTGTAATGTAGTTTAATATTTTTAACTAAATGTAGGTACATTTTTAGTTTGTTATTTTGTTTTCTTGGCACATCTGTAAACTGGCTGGTGTGTCCTGTAGTCTCTGCTTATCAAGTCTAAGGGACACACCGTTACCATAGCTAAGTGTGCTGCCCAAGTAAAATAAACTGTCTACATGAATCGCTATGTCTATGTTTACCTTTGGTGGGTTAAACGGATATGTTTCAGGGATGACAATATCCAATTTGTAGCTTCCACCTGGAAAAGAACAAGATTTCTTACAGTGGTCCCACAAGTTTTGTCAATTGCAGAGTTTACACATATCTCTGTTGCTATACTTTTTATTCCAATTTTCCGCAATGGTTAACAGAGGTGTTAGTGTAGCATTCTGCACAAACATTTAATAATCAGGGGAGGGGCACTGAGAACCCAGTTGTTTGCAGTGGCTTGAATCAATAGCATTGTGCACAAATAACATCACGAAAATTTAACCCCTGGTGTGACTGAGGCAAACAAACCCATTCATGGGCTACTTCTTTGAGAGCGACATACAAAACAAAGGTGCTCTTCAGCTCTTCAGCGTGGTACTCAGTGATTAATTTCACATTTGACGGCCTCTCTAGCTTGAACTGTGCGAGAAAACCTACGTCATGTGCCTTGGAATAATAATAATACAAAGTTTGAAAGAGGGTGGCAAAATATGATGGGATTCTCATGTATGAAGGCTGTTTATGAATAAACTCCTTACATCCAGAGCAGAAAAAAAATATGATTATTGTGCCTGACATTCAGGTGTATCACTCACAAGAAAGCCAGCAAACCAGCAAAGAAATACCATAAAGAAATACTGTAGAGCTCACAGTGACAGATTTGTTTTTGTGGTTGGATAAATGGCTCTATTAAAATCTAGGTCC